AATTCTTTATGTTATTGTCATTAAGTGGGTAATGAGTCATAAAACAAATAATCAAAACATTTCAGGAGTCGGGGTGCCAAAAGTGTCTTTGGCCCCAGGTGCTGAGAACCCTTGCTACGCCACTGGATTTCCCAGAACAAAGGACATATGCAACAGCAACAGTTTATTGTGCAGCCTGCATATGTATGGGATTAACCATATGAGATTGGCCAGAGTTACAGTGGCACTAATTTACTTAAGAAGGAAGCACTGGATGAAAAATATGTTTGAGTTTGTGAAGTTATTGATAAATACTGTCACCAGATTTTGTCACATCTGTTTATAGAAATAAAAAACAATTTTTAAACCCACAAACATACAATGCTTATCTTTTTAACAGCATTTATTCACTTATAAAATCTATGCAACATAATTAAAGATATGTATAAACATTTTAGACGTTTTTTCTAAACTATTTGAAATGATGTTTGTCTAAGTTATTCTGGAGTTCCAGCACATATGAAATAAAAGATAGAGCAAAAATTCTGTTGCTTTTTTGCTAAAAACAAGTAGGGTAAAAAAATGATAAAATATGAGAATTTGTTGCCAGTGAATGTAATTCTAACACTGTATTAGCACATATAACCCATTGTGCTGAAAAATAAAGCTGTATTATTGCACAAAGTTCACTTACTGATTTCATCAGTTGTTGTTACTTGAACAATTGATCAGATTTAAGGTATTAGAACGTCAAGAAATTAATGTCACTTTTTTTAGATGAAAAACCAAAACAACTTATATATCAAAACAAAACATTTATTAAATGAAATAGTCTCAATTCTTGTTGATGATGCTTTTCCATCTTACAGTCAAATTGTTAATGCCCTGATTAAAGAAATCACCTGGCTTTGAAGCAAAAAACATGATGATGTCCTCTTTAACACCTTTCACATTTGCATATGTTTTTCCATTAAGGTGGTGTTACAGTGAAAGAAAAAGATGGTAATCTCATGGTACCATAATCTTGTGTTGCTTCAAATGTGCCACATGTGGACATGCATTGTCATGGAGAAGAAGAACACCTTTCTGATTGATGAGTGAAGAGCATTTCTGATGAAGGGCTTGAGTTAAACGTTCCAGTTGCTGACTGTAGATCTCTGCATTGACAATTCACTGTGGATTGAGGAGTTCATAATGAATTACTCCTTTGATGTCCCACCAAATGCAAAGCATCATTTTCTGTGGAGGGAGTCCAGGTTTTTGGGTCAGAAGTGTTTTTTGTCTGGGACTGAGCCATTGTTTTTGGTGTTTACTAGTTGCATAGAGAATCCATTTTTCATCACCAGTGACAATTTCTGTCCAAAAATAGTTCATGTGCATTATGCACCAGAAGAGGCATTCACACGTTGTAAACGATGATCATCGGAGAGTTTGTGAGGCACCCAAACACCTTCTTTATGGAGTTTTCCCATATTCCTCAGATGTTTATGTATTGTTTCATGAGAGATATGCAATTTCAGGGCCATTTCACGAGTGTGTTACCTTGGGTTAAACTCAATGAACGTCTTCAGAGCATCAATATCAATTCCAACATATCAGCCCCTGCCATCACAGTTTTTTAAGGCTAAAGTCATCTGAACGAAATTTGCTGAACCATCGTTGACACTTACGAATGTTCAAAACATTTCCATAAACTTCTTTGATATTCTTTGTGGCTACAGAGGCGTTGTTTTCCTTCTTGTATTCCAACAGCATTACATGCCGAATGTGTGTCTTGTCGTGTGGCATCACTATAAGGGATTAGAGTATACTAAACTTTACACGTTATATAGGCTACACTAACATGATGTTTAGGCAGTTCATTTAACTATTATACGTGATGTACATTTTTTGGGGGGTGGTTAATTAAAGTGTTCCAAACATGACATTAATTTCTTGATGACCTAATACTCCACTTTCAATCAATGCTGTTAATCAAGACAATGTTTTGAAAGTTTGGTACATCCATGTGTCATTGCTATTCACTTACCTGAAATAAAAACACCATTAAGATGCATTGTGAATAAATACTTCTTACTGTTAACATTATGTACCAGATTTCTGTATGATGCTACTTAAATATTCATGGTAGACATGAAATAGAATTTCATATGTACTAGTATAAGGAGATTAATGGTAAGAATTTCTAAGACACTTTCACTGGGATAATGAAAGGTAATTAATGAGGAGTACCCATCTTCAATATCTTCAATCTAAAATTCTTGGATCACAGCTTACAATGTTGATTAACACTTTCAATATGGGCTCGGTCAATTTGACTGACCACATGACCTTTTTGTACTTGTTTAAAATCTTTATAGATTTAATACTTATAATTCTCAATATAGTGGGTATATCTTCACGAAATTTGGCAGTCTTTCAGTTCATGTTATAAGTCTTTCACATACAAAAACTCGTATTTCTTAGTAAAGTATTTTTAATAAAATAAAATAAAGATTTGTCCATGAATATATTGAGTATTTGTTCTGAATAGTCCATGCACAAAATAATTTTCATGTTAAAATTAAATATACTTTTCCTCATCTCAAGAATCTCAAATTTCCTTTGTGTAATCCCTAAAACCCACCTAAATGCAATTTAAACGTTTTTTTTTGGTAAAACTTTATAGTTTATCTATTATTTTCTCTACCTTATCTCAAAACGGGATCTGTAAATTCGACCGACCTCATAACAACCAAAAAAGATCGAAATAAACCAAAATTAACCTTTTTTTGCTTTCTAGAATGACTTCAAATTGTATCATGAAACTACACTTGTTTATCCTAAGTAGCTCTAAATTCGTAACATTATACATCTATTTATAATTATATTTTATTGTTTTATTGCCCTTTGAACCATGTCTAACTACTATCCATGCCATTATAAGTTGTAAATAACTTGAGGAATGTGCAGCTGATGTTGCGCTATCGAATTACATTACCCACGAGCTGCTTGCATGCGTGCCTCATGAACCCTTTTAATTATATTATCATTATTACTTATTTTACTTAATCTAGTCTTAAATAACTTCAAAAGATCCATATTTTTATATTTTAGTTACTTTTACAATAATAAATAAAGAATAAATATGAAAAACAAGAAGTAAAGCACTTACCTAATCTTCCTTTTTTTTTGTTGTTGTCGGGTTTCAAAGAGAGTTAACCCTAATTTTTCATACTATAGATAGTAATGCACTTAATGATTTTTATTTAATTAAATAATGTACCAAAGAATATAGACTAATAACATTCAAAAAATAGACAAAGTCACTTACCTCTCAAAATTTTTCTGGCTTTCTAGCTATGCGACAAGAGCCATTTGAAATTCATCCAAGCTAGTTGTTAACTTTCCCACGGGAATGATTCTTGTACTGTGAGTGAAATTGACAATATTCTGTTCAGAATACAACATAATACAATACGTCATTTGATAGATGAAAACCTTGAGTTTCTATCGGCGATAGGTAATATATAATGAAATGTAAGGGAGGATATGACAGGTGGGTGTGACAGGAGGGGGTCTGATTTTCTATTCAATAACTCTGTAACCAAACAAAATTGAAGACTATAAAAATTATGGTTTGTCTGAGCAACAACAATTTTATAAAGAGTAATTTACATTTAATTTTGTACATTTTCTAGGGGTGATGGATAAAATAGGGATGATGACATGCTAAGACAAAATGTGTCACGTGGGTCACACTAGTGGAAATTCAGGATTTTTTTAATATTCCCTTGTAGAATTAACAACTTAAAACTTGTATACTATTAAAATATGGATTATTAGCTAAGATGTTATGCTATTCAAATTGGTATAACAAACAAAAAGTTGTATAATAAAATTTTGAATGTAAAACACTAAAACCTTGTGTCATGCTCAGTAAAAGATACACGGGGCAATAGAGTTAAGCAACTCAAACAGAAAACATATAGTGTGAGCATCTAAAGTACATTAAACAACCTTAATTTCCTGTAAACAGCAAAAATAGGTTTAATTTTGCCCAACTGGAAGGACTGCAGTTTGAACATTTGTTCAATACAACATTATTTGATTGGTACATGTTGTTTAGTTTAGAAGATAAAATGTTTAGATATTAAACAACAATACATTTTCCACTACATTATAAAACCTACCTTACAAGTTGTAAAATTTTGAAGTAACATGAAAACAATGCACTCTCAGCAGCAGTTTGGTACTTGACATTGTACTTAGGACCAACTGTATGCATTATGTATTGAGCAGGAAGATTATATCCTTTGGTCAGCTTGGCTTCACCTGTCCTACATCCTGAAAAAAAATGAGAAGAAATATATGTTTGCAACTAAACATGAAGTATTAAATCAAAGAATTGTTTTGTAAACTATAAACAAATTTAATTTCTTTTTAATAGTGCATGTACAAAATTACTGAATAAATAAGGTCACAATATTTAAAAACACATTTATTCCTTAATATAAAGAATTACAAATCATGACATGCATTATATTGAATATGCAACCCCGTATAACTTTCTAAGTCTTTTTCAACTAATTAAATTTCACTTTGTGTGTTCTTAACTTTTTTAATTTGAAGTTAAATAATTGCAAGAATTATGCAACTTATAATTTCTCTAGTAGTGTTTCTGACCTAAGCGGTATTATATTGAGAGGTATATGACAGATAGGATCTTCTAAGTGGGATTGTAATAAAGTATATACACAGCGTGGTCACAAGTAAACAGACACCACCTTTTCAGAAAAAATGTAATTTTTTAGTCATATTCACATGAATTG